CTTACCTATAGAGATGATTTCTGATTAAATACGTATTTTATGTTGAAACAAAGAACAGATTGGGAAAACTGCGTTTTTAAGGTGGGGTTTTTGTAGTCACATATAATCATTTGGATCTCAGTAAATGTTAAGAGTCTATTCCAATCTTTTTATGTAATATTTTTTTCTGTATTAAAGCATATTTGAGATGATAGGAAGAGACACTATGGAAATAATATGTTAGAATGTTACATGTGCTTTTAAGTTTGTTGGTCTTGAGGGAGTGTGTATTTGTGTGTGTGTGTGTTGGCTGTTGTTGAGATAAGAGTTTTAAAATCATTGCTTTTTTTTAATCTTAAGGTGATAAAAATTTGTTTTAATTGTTGAGATTGAGTGTTATCAAAGTTAGGAAAATATGAAGCACTCATTTTTCAGATATTAACAAGTTTTAATCACAAATCAAGAACCCCAAGGTTAGAAGTTATTTGTTTTAGGATAAACCAAGGCTAACATAAATAAGGTTTAATACATTGAGTGAATGCAATACAAGTTTATTATAGCAAACTTTATTTGGGAAATAATAGAAAAAATAGTTCTGAAAGTTGTACTTTTTGCTTTGACATAGCTATTACCTATTGGTATTTCTTATGCATAATGCATTTTTATAGAATAGAATATGAATGTTTTAGAGTTCAGTGATTTCTGTTTTAGTCAATCCCAGTACCATGCAGGAAAAATCAGAATTTGGTGTGAATCTGAGAATATGTTTCCCATGCCATCTCAGGGTATAACTCCACCAGGGATTGTTCCGGTTCTCACTTCATTGAACAGCATGAACAACACAGTTGCAACACCTGCCAGTTATAATATGAAGAATGAGCCCAGGGGACTCAGTGTGTTCAAACAGGAGAAGCAGAAGGTTTGTTTTAGGGAGCTAAGAGATAAAGGAGTCTGCTAATGTTACTGGTTACATTAATATAGTTAACCTAGTATATATGTAGTACTGTGAACATGTGCTGTGAACATCCACCATTATATGAAGTGGATAGAATTGAAATTTTCAACTGTTTAAAATTAGAGTGGAACTACAAATCACTTAAAAAATCATGGACAAAAATTCTCTATTTCAAAAAAGTTCAGTACTTAATGAGTGTTACAAATAACGTTATTATAAAGTTGATGTAATTCTTGTCACTACGATTTTGGGCGCATACTCTAAAAACAGATATTTAGAAGCTTATTTGAATAGACTAGCAGACATACCAGTAAAAGTAGGAGCTGGTAAACAGTTGTTCTCCAGGCAAGTAATTGTGTTTAGGTTGGGAAAAAGAGATGTTAATACTATTTTATTTTTTATCAAGTACAAATAATGGTAATCCCTCTTTAACTGTCATTGTAGTTATTTCCGTGCCTCAGGGTATCAGAATTTATGGTCAAAGTCCTTAAAATCATAGGTCATAGTTGAACTTAATATTTTCATATGCTTGTGTGTATGTATGTGTGCACATGTATGCACATGCACACATGTATGTACACAAACTTACTCAGCACATCAGTAGATAATGGTGCCCTTTAGGTAGTATAATGCTGAACATTCTCTTTACTGTTTCTTGCATACTGGAAACTTCAGGAACCCTACAGTTTGAACAGGTTGCTTATATATAGATTTGTCTTTGCAGAGAATTATGCCTTAAAAAGTAATCTGATCTTTTTAAAAAATATCTAATAGTTTTAAAAATTTGTGATTTTAGTTATATTCTGGGAAATATGATTCTAGAGAAATATAGTAAACTGGTTGTTTAATGAAAACAAATCTTCTGTAACCTTGTTATTCAGACACTATCTTTTAATTCCCAGGTTAAGGTTTTAATTATGCCTTTTACCACTTTATGCCATAGTAATTGACTTAAGCTTTTTGACTCTCTTTATAAACATTTACATCCCCTACTCATGAGAATGAGTAGTCACAAGAATGCATTAGTTTTCTTTAAGTCCTTTATTGCAAAAACCTACTTTGCCTTAATTTTTACCTTTCCCCTTTTTTCCAATTCCTAGCTCTCTCTTTTTCTATTTACTGCCACTGGGAATAACTTTAAAATATTGGAATTGAAATTCTGAAGGTTGTTGAAAAGGAGTACAGAAGTAAAATCAGCTTACAACTGAAGGAGGGATTACTTCACATAGGCTGAATAACACAAAATAGTGGAAACGTACAAGATACAGTATATGTATTTTTTGTCTTAATAGTGTGGCCTTGATCTTTTCAGTTTATTCTAAGTTGCAGTGTTAAGTATGTTAATATGATGTTACTATTCATCAGTTTCCTAAGAGCTGCAGCATGTTGAATCCCTCAGTTTGCTTGTTTCCTGGTTCTCAGAACAACCAGTCTTCTCTTTCTAGACCAGTCTGAAACAACTCTCAAGGAACACGCCATTTTTCTGGAACCAAATCTCACTGATGGAGCTCCTGAACAGAATCATACATTTAAAATTATAGCAGCCTTAATGTTTTCCATTAGGCTTTTCAGATTGTTACTGCAAGAGTGACTCATCTTCTTTACCCCTTCTCTCCTCTAACCCCCAGCAGAATTAGGGTATATATGCTTATAAATGAGATTTCTTTTTGCAACTACTGTGTATATAGGAGGAGGCTTGTAGGAGGCCTGAATATTATGTGATAAACTGTTTTCCATGTAACTTGATTCATGATTTATTTGGCTCATTTTTGAAATGTTTCAACTTGGCTATTTCATTTGCATTCTAGTTTTTATGTTCCACAAATTGGTTGTGATACTTTTTCTTTAGTTATAAGAGCCTTATAGCAACATTAAGAAAAATTTTAATTAAAAATGAAGTATTTAATTATATTTAAATATAAATATTTAAAAATAAGAATATTTGCTGCCATTTTATTTAAAATCACAAAGTGGCTAGCTGCCCATCAAATGTCTAATAAGACGAAATGTTTAATTTTGGTAAGGCACAGTGTAGAAAATTTATGACATTGTGTCATTTAAAATAATCAAAAGAATGTACATTTAAATGAATAAAGAAAGATAAAAATGGTCCATGTATGTTGAATTTATAAAATGTGTATGTGAAGAAATGTTGGAAGGCAATATAATGGTTATGTTGGGTTGATGAGATAATGGAAGGTTATTTCCTTTCGACATTATTCTGCATTTTCTAGAATTTCAAGAATTTATTTAAAAAGTCAATTGTGAGGAGTTGGGTGATTTCTCATTTTAATTTTTTTACTTGTTGGTTTCAGGTATCTTGTTGGTATCACCTCTTAATTTCTAGGTTAATTTTCTAGTAAGAGTATGATAATCTTTTCCTAATCCTTAACTAAAACCTGAAGATTCCTCAATTGCCATATTGTTGACGATTGCCTTCGTCTGTACAGAGGAAGGCAGTATGCTACCCTCACTTTCAAAATTTGGACTGGTTACAGTTTGGAATTTGAACCTGCTTGAAAAATTATTTTGAAATAAGTTCCAGTTACTATTGAGGAAAAGAGTCGGAAAGAACACTGACAAAACAAAATATATTTGAAATAGATTTTTATTAACAGAGATGGGATTGATGAGGACAAGAGAAGACATAGGGTAAAGAATGAGAGTGCTAGCGAGAGAAAAACTCAGAAGGAAGTTGCAGTAGGCTTTTTAATCCTTCACAACTGTGCAGCTTCTGCACACTATATATAGTAAAAATATGTAGTGTTTTACATTCTAACATTATAATAACTTCATTATAACACTATTATAACATCATAACATTCAATTTTTACTTGATTTAGGCATAGTAATCAAATCACATCCCTTTCATAAGAAATATTGGTTTTCCTCTTGAACAGTTTATTTATACTTAATATGTATTAGGGAACTGGGATGGTACGGTAAGTGTGTATCCTCATCTTACTAATGACTAATGAGATATGCCATAAAGTTGATTTTGGAAAAATGTTTTTGTTAAAAAGTTTAAAACTTAATAAGGCAGTTTATATCTTCTTTACCTAAAAGTAAAATTTATTAGCATGTACATTTTTAATTAAAAAGCTTTGTTTCACCAGATTGTTATGTTGTGTGTGGTGATATAAATTATGTTAGGGAGAAGGATATTGAGGCATTTTAGAACCACATGCTCTGGAATACTTAGGCCCTGCCCTAGGTATTTATCTTCATGATTTTGCCACTACTTTCAAATAGGTAAGTGTAAGTTTCAAATAGGTAAGAATTCAGATTTGGGGGTTCATAGTATTAAAACTACCACTGTAATTTCATATTGAATCTTATAAATTGTTACTAATTATTGAAAGGAATCATTTATATTTGAGTTTAATATCATGAATTTAACTCCCCTCTCTTACTTTGTTGTGGTATATTTGTGTTGATTATCTCCCTTTTAATATTTATATCCTTCAGTTATTTTTTTTCCTTCTAGTAGTTTTCCATTAAGAGTTTTTCTTGAGCAGTCACATAATTGCACTGGATTCATTCCAGTAACACCCCCTACCTCCCAGAACCTTATTTGAATTGCAGAATCAGAGCACTGAAAATGACCTTTATATTTGGGGTTTGGTTGGTAGCGGTCTTTCAGCATACTTTTATTGAATAACTGTGGTTGGCCAAAGTGCTGGGTTAGGGGTAAATTGAGAAATGACTCTTGCTCTTCCAGCCTTTGAAATGTCAATAATACATTAAAGATAAGATTATTACGATATATGATAAGTTCTGTGGTAGAGGTAAGTGCAAAGGGTTATGGGAATACGGAGGAAGTGGGGTGCTTACTTTAACTTAACTCACTGCTGACATTTACTTATTTTAGTCCTTCTAAAATTATTCACAGGTGACCATAATATTTGTATTTAAAAAGAAAATGAACCTTATTAATGAAATGGAAATTTGTCAAATCTTTTCATTTAGATAACTTTTTGAAAAAGAAGGGCATGGAATTTAAAGTTTGTTTGAAACCTGTAAAGGAGATTGGGTCAGTTAAATTCTCATTATCTTTGTAATACAGAATGACATGGAACCTAGCAAAGCTGTTCCACTAAATGCATCTAAACAAGATGGACCCATGCCAAAACCGCATAGTGTTTCACTCAATGATACTGAAACAAGGAAACTCATGGAGGAATGTAAAAGACTTCAGGGAGAAATGATGAAACTATCAGAAGAAAATCGACACCTGAGAGTAAGTTGTTTGATAAGCTGATTTAAATGAAGGCATAGAATATGTGAACATTGTTAGGCCATCATACCATTTGTAAAATTTACCCTTGGTTAATTCTTTCTCTTCCCCAATTTATTATGTCTTAGCCTTTGCTTTCCACTCCCAGCCTCTTTTTAGTATTTCCCTAGGACTTTTATATTACCTGCAAATTCCTTTTCTAGGTGTGTCCCAGTGCTCCAACCTCCGGCACTCTAGCTTCCTCTCTTGTTCATACCAGCCTTCACAGTCTATGCCCTAGTCATGTTAACTGCCTTGAACAGTGCTCTCTCATATAGGTGTTTGCTAGTCTTAATGTGGCTGTTGAATATTTGGATGTGGTTTGTTTGAGATTTGCTGAGCATAAAATATACGCCAGTTTCTTAGACTTAGTATAAAAATAATTTTGTGCAAAAATGAAAAATGATGTAAAAATATATAAAATAAGAAATATTGGAAAAAAATAAATTTAGGCACTACAAGTAATAATTTTTCATATAGCTGTATAAAATACTATTTTGGCTATGTTGAATCAGTTGAAATATGTTACTGAACTTAATCTTACCAGTTCTTTATTGCAAAATATAAAATTAATTTGTGGCTCACATTTGAAGCTTATTATGCTTGTGTTGGACAGCACTGATTGGGTGAGTATATCCTAAAGAAGTCTCTCTGTCAGAACCCCATCTTTGCTTTAGCTTAAAATTTAAGTACTTTCCTGTGACTGGAATGCCCTGAGATCCTGTCCTTCTCTACATAGCACATACATACACCTATATTTGTTTCTCAGTGCTCTGTTCTTTTCTTTTCCTTGTACTCTTTCCCTCCCAGAAGGAAAAAAACTTTTTTTGTATGTTATCTCCTTTGTGTTTCCATTGTACCTTTTGTACGTTCCTGCTTCTGTTTGTTGGAGGTCTTTCTCTCTTTAGTGAGTATTTGTTCCTTGGAGGCAAGGACTGTGTTCATTCATCTTTGCATTTATACCACATGCATATTTCCATACTGGATGGCTGAGGTGAATGAGGACTAATGTAACTATGGGTGGAGTCATTAATTGTTTGTCGTTGATAAGTAAATACTTATTTTAAGATCTGAATACCTTTAAGTTGCTTTTATAGGCTTTGTTTGAAACTTTTTGTGTCAAAGTAGATAATACATCAATGAAAATAAACTATTGGGACTTAATCTACATTTGATTATTCCTTTTGTTAAATATATATAGGAATCATAGGTGCTATATCTTGAGTTGATTTGTGTTGGAATAATTTTTCTGGATATCTCTTCATATTCTGTAGTATATTTGAGTGTCCCTCTAACACCACCCTGACCCAGATAGTGGGGAGAATATCTCCATTTCACACATCCACACACTGTTGCTTTGTAAAGGAGGTATTCTTCATTAATTTTAATTAATGACTTCCATAGGTTCTGAAGAACCTACTGTTCTTTGATGAAAGATGTGCTCTATAGCATGCTCAGGGGATTTGTTTAAAAATCCACTGTCTCTCGGTAGGGAGGAAAGTGGAAATGCTAGGAATGGCATAGGTGGGGCAGGATTGGAAAATAGAATTGTTGGGAGAGAGGTGAGACTTGATTCCTGTCTCTCTTTATTGGCAGGTTTCCTATAGGAGATGGTATGTATTTATTTATTTTAAAGATTTATTTATGATACAAGAACTGGGGTATAGGCAGTGAGAGGATTCACCAGAGACTGAGAGGGGAATGGAACAGGCAGACTGACTGAAATACACTGCTGAGGGGAGCAGTGGGCGAGACAGGAGAGGTCTGCTACGCCATGTGGGTAGTTCCTGCTTGAGGATTGAACTCAAGCTGCAGAGGCTGTTAGTAGTTTCACAGTGCTGCGCTTAACCCCTTGCGCCACCAGGGAGGCACAGGAGATGGTCTTTAAAAAAAACATTCTGCTGTTTAAAAGAGGGAAACATAACAGGAACCCTAACAACTTACTTGTTTATGGTCTTTTAGCATTTCATATTTAAGTTCCGTCATAATTAATTGTCAGATTAATTTTCTCGAGCTTGTTTTGACACTGCCCCATTTTATTCCTCTAGTCCTGTGATTCTTAATCCAGACTGTGCATCTGACTCCCAGTGAACTTTTAAAAAATACACGTTTCAGGGCCTCCCCAGACCTAGTGAATCAGAATCACTAGGAGCATTTTTAAAAAATTGTTGTTGGCGTTCAGAAATGTTGCTTTCTCCACACAGAACTGGTTAGCTTAATGGTTTTACTGCATGATCACAGAAAATCTGGTAATAGAAATAAAACATGCACACAAGAGGAATCATTTTGAGGAAATATAAATTAGCTTGCACTGAGGAAGTAAAAGTCTACGCTGCCATTCATGCTGTTGGCATGATGGGACACAGATTAAGACTAGTTTACGGGTTTCAGCATTATTCCCAAGGTCTTACTGCAGCTGGTAACGTTAGAATAACTTCTTTGAGTGACTACTGCCTTTTTTTTTATTTATTTATTTTTTATTTTTTATATATTTCTTACATCATTTTTGCACAGTGTATGCATTTTCATCTTGGTTATATTCCCCATACAATTGCACCCCCCTTATTTTGACTCTAATCCCTTCTCTTCCCCCCACCCCGGTAGTGTGTCTCTAGTTTATAGTTGCTTGTTGATTTTGATTTTTTCTTTATTATAGTTATTCTTTTTCCTGGTCTCTTATTTAGGTTTTCTAAACTCCTGCTATGATTTATTGAGAAACCTTGTTCCATAAATCTGTGATTGTCAGAAACTTAGCTGTGTGACACCCTATCAGTAAGAATGAAGCAGCCTACTTGTGTCTGGAAGATGAAGAGCTAAGTCACTTGGGTGCAGAGCAGTGACCTCTGTTTTCAGTCCAATGCAGAGTTTCAGATATGGGAAGTTGCAGTATACAACTGTATATATCCTGTTGTAATCAGTTTTGGAAGAAATGGGATTCTTTGTGTATTTGCAGTACAGGGCTGATGCTCACCCTTTACATACAGCTCTGCTGCTTTACTGTGAATATAACACTGTGTTATTCATATTTCTTCCTGAATTTCTGCCTTCCTCAAATTGTGTAAAGTTCTGTCTCTTCTGTGAGATGCTTACATCCATGCCTCTTCTGTGTGGGTGCTCTGGTTGTTACAAGTGTCAGACTACATGTTTGATTCTTTTACTGTGGGCCACTTGGAAATAAGTGAATACATAGACCTCTTAATTGCATTGATTTTAGTGGGATTTTTTCCTTTTGTGTAAATATAACCATATCTGACTTTTCAGTTTTTTTAGGAATATATTTCTCAGCTCCAGTTTTTAAAATCCACATTATTGAGGTATAATTTACATTCCATAAAGACACCTATTATGAATGTACAGTTTAATGACTTTCAGTCCACTTTTAGGATTGTGCAGCCACCATTAGAATCCAGTTTTAGAATGTTTCCATCACCCTAGAAGGTTCTCTTAAGCTGGCTAATACTTGATTCATGTTCCTATACCCAGCCATATACAGATGATCTGCTTTTGGTCTGTAGATTTTTAGCTCATTAGTCTTCTTACGTGCATATTTGTTTTTTAAAACCTCTTTCTGTGCATATATTTTTTTCTAGGATGAAGGCTTAAGGCTCAGAAAGGTAGCACATTCGGATAAACCTGGATCAACCTCAACTGCTTCCTTCAGAGATAATGTCACCAGTCCTCTTCCTTCACTTCTTGTTGTAATTGCAGCCATTTTCATTGGATTCTTTCTAGGGAAATTCATCTTGTAGAGTGAAGCATGCAGAGTGCTCCTACTACTACTTTTTTTTCCTTTCTCTTGACCAGAAAAGATTTGTTTACCTACCATTTCATTGGTAGATGGCCCACGTGACCATTTTTTTGTGCGTGTGTGTACAGCGTCATATAGGCTTTGCCTTTAATGATCTCTTACGGTTAGAAAACACATACAAACTGTTCGGCTACTGGACAAATTGTATATTACCAGATCATCATAGCAAATGTCAGTTGCACATTCAGTCCTTTATGAAATTCATAAATAAAGAATTGTTCTTTCTTTGTGGTTTTAATAAGAGTTCAAGAATTGTTAAGTCTTGTAAATGTTATTTTAATAATCCCTTTAAATTTTATCTGTTGCTGTTACCTCTTGAAATATGATTTATTTAGATTGCTAATCCCACTCATTCAGGAAATGCCAAGAGGTAGTCTGTGGGGAAATGGTGCCTCTTACCGTGTAAATTTTCTCCTTTACCTTTGCTAATATCATGGCAGAATTTTTCTTACCCCTTGTGAGGCAGTTGTTGACTCAGTTTTTCATCCTTACAATCCTGTCCCATGGTATTTAACATTAAAAAAAAAAATAAAACTGTTAACAGATCTTGCTCGATAGCTTGTTTGTGTCTGTCGTGTCATTAGATGGGGATACCAGGGAGTCCACTATATGGTAATTTGGAATTTATAGTGCGTAATTTTACCCACATTGAAACCCTTTTGGATAGTAATAGTATTTGTAGTTAAATGTCCTCAATCTATTAAGGAAAGGAATTAGTAAAATTTCAAGCTACTTTTGCCCTTTTGGAAAATGATAAGCATTTTGACGTTAAGATAATATCAAAAAAGAGCAAATACCATGAGAATAAAAATGCTGTAATTAGTCACTTTAATGTGTATGCCTTGTGGCTATTGTGTTTAATTTACCCCCTTCTTAACAGGTTCTTTTTCTATCTTCTCAAGGAAGATTAATTCTCCTTAGTTCTAGTCAAGTGGTTTTTAACCAGCCTACTAATTCTTCCTGCTCAATTTAAGACTCAAAGTAAATTTCCATTTGGAAATTTGGTATTCACTGAGCAAGCCTTGTGAATTTTTCTTTCTGAAAAATGACTTTATTCTTTGCAAATCTGTTAATTTGGTGAAACACATTTTTAGTATAAATACGCAGTAGAGGGTCTGATACTTTCTGCACTTAGTCTTATGTCTTCTCTTCATTTGTCCTAGCATAGAAAATTTTGAAACCAGAGACAATTTAGTTTTTCTACTGAGTACCATCTACTACTACAAGTAAATTTTAATTTCTGAGAATATGTGTTGGTTTCATAAGAGATGTACTTATATCTAAAAGGGAAATTGGACTTTGGGACTGGATGTGGTGCAGTGAAGTATTAGGCCCAAGTCTGCATATACATTTTATAAATGAAACATTCTAAAAATTTCTGTTGCCTTTTCAAGTATGTTTTGAATTTGTTAGATCACATGTATTATGTCAGTTGTGTTTCATGGTATCTTTTATAAAACCTCTTGCTTGTGTGCAAAAGTCACTAAAAAACACAAGTAATACCTATCCATTACTAGCATGCTACTGCAGGTAATGTTTCTGTTGTATGCTTTACATTCGTAACCCCCACCCCCTTTTTTTTCTGATAACTGGAAAAGCATGCAAAAAAAAAAAGTCTTGCATTTTTTGTCTCATAAATTCAGAATCACTGATTCCTTGGCTTAAAGCTCTCTGTATAATCAACATTGGTGATAAGAATCAAGCTTGATATTTAATAGCTATCCTTTAAAATTTAAGTTCTCAAAAATTTAGCAAAGTCCCGTTTTATGGGAATGCTCTTTGGAATTCATTTTGTTCATCCCCCTTTTTAAATAATTGAAGAATCTGAGGCCTTTATGAGGGTTAAGAGAACTTTCCCTGTATCTCACAGGTAGGTAAAGGCAGAGCTGGAACTAGAAATCTGCTCTCCTGACTCTAGCTCAGTGGTAACTTTGTAGAAAAAATTGTCTTGATTTGACATGACAAGTGAACATAAGATGCTATTTAATAAGTGTGAAATTTCTTATCATAAGATTGTATTATGGGGCTACTGTTGAATAGTCTTATGTTTTGGTATTTAGGGTAGAAATCCCCCCTACCTCCCACCATGGGTAATAAACATGAAATGCAATGTATTTTGCAAAATACATTTTCCAGTGGTTGGTTTTGAGATAGATTGTAGTCTGAGTAACATCTGCAAAATAAAGTGTACCTGGGGTTCTTAGCTGTTTACATATCAGGAGATGCTCTGATTGTATAGGAGACTTGATTCTTTTTAATTGCTGTATAAAATGTGATCAGATTATTTTACTACCAACCGTTACTTTAAAAGTCCAGTTGTATTAATTGACTGATAATATATAGATTAAATTGTTTGTCGTCATTCCTTACATGTTTAGAGATTTTTGCTTTGTCTGCCTGCTTACTTGTGTATGTAAGCATGAGGGAAATAATATTGTTGCTAATATGAAATCACAATCAAGTAACTAAGGCCTTAAGTTCATTATGTGACGCTAAATGCACTACCTTCCTTCATTCTCTCTATAACTCTAATGTACCTTAACTTTGCCCATTCTTGTATTTACCACAAACAAATTTAAGAAATGTATTCTGAGTGTGGTATGTTATCTTAAAAAAAATGACACTTGGAAAAAATTTGTTATCAAAGTCAGAAAATTCTGGTCAAAGAAAAGTAATAATTTAATTTCTCTTTCAAGTATCTTACAGCTCAGGAGTTCTCCTAAAATTGATATGCTATGGGAATTACTTTTGGATTGTAATCATTCAAAATATACACTTTGAAAACAAGTTTTATCAGTAAGGGAAAAAAGAAAACAAAGGGTATATCCCCAAGTTGTGATCTTCTGCCCCTTTGAAAGCGTTAAAGTAATAGTTTTCCTAGAGTGTTGCACATTCCTATCAATGATTTTCGGTTTGTGCATAGATTTTAAAAAAAGTTGACTTTAAGAGAGTTAGGGAAAGATCATGTTTACCATATGAAAAAACAAGATATAAGAAGGTAAATAAATGATCTTTATTTTCTAGCTTTCAAAGGAAATTAAACTATGCGTGAATAAATAAAATGTTTAAAAATGTGGTGAAGTGTCATATTCCTTTCCCAAAGACAAAGGTATTTGATTTCAACAGATGATGATGGTTTTATATGTTCTATCAAGTATTAGCCAGTCATTGACTGGGACTTGAATTGTGATGGCAGGTAGTCTTGCTTGTGATGTAGAGATTCAGTCCTTTTTTTATTAGGAAATGAGAATAGCTGGATATTGCAGTGGCACATTTGATGAACCTCTGTTAGTCCAAGCCATCTTCTGGGAGAGTTGGTAATGCTCAGTCTAAGGGGGGGGTGGGGATGCTAATAAAATTGCAACATCCGTCCTTGAAGAAATTCTATTTTCCTACTTTTCTGGTTGTAGAAATAAAGCATATTAGAGAATTTGAGAAATTACTAAAAAAAAAAAAAAAAAAAAAACAAGGCCAGGCCCTACCATCCACTAACACCAGTTTCCATGAACATTTTATTTCCCTTTAATATTAATGCTCCTTAAGCATAATCATAACTTTATATCCATTTTTTCCCACTGGATCATTTTACTTTGCTGCACAAATTGGCTGTGAAATACTTTTATTTTTACAGTCATTTTTACTGTGAAGTTACGGCATTTGTTCAATGTAAAGCATGATTAACCATGTAATTCCCTTTCTAGTTATGCATATCCTCCTATTACCACACTTATTTTAAAACTCAGTTGCAGGTAACTTAAGATAACTTGATTTTTTTTTTTTTTTAAACACTGATACTCAAATACTCAAACAGCTTTGCTTATCGTGGCAAACTTAAAGTTAGTGATGCTTGAGCAGTCCCTCCAAGGATATTGACTTAAAAGGTCTGGGGTAATGGCCTGGCATAGTCATCTTTTAAAGCTCCAGTGATTTGACTCTGCAGCGGGGAAACTTTTATGATGGCTGTTAAATGCCAAAGTCAGATAAAATAGTATGTAAATCCTACAACATAGGGATTGCAAGAGTCACCTTTGGGTGTATTGTAAGAGCTATTTTGTAAAATCAGGGATCTGAGAATACTGGGAAAGACATTTGGAGAAAATGTGGACTCTGAGAAGTTTATGGGGTTTGGTTGTAAACCACTTTGCTGATACCCACCTAAGGTTTATTTTTTCTGCCTCAAATTATAAGATCATTTTCAACATAAAACACAGTATTTTTACACAGGTTCAAACATAGGTTTATACTGCTTTAACAGGGCAAGAGTTGGAAGAATGTTGATACTGCAAGTAATTGAAATTTGTTTTACATTCCTGAGTGATAAATTCCTTATTTTAGTACTTTGTTTCAAGAAGTAGAAGTTAGAAATTAACAGTTTCAGTACAGTTTTTTTTTTTTCCCCCTTGGGGGTGTGGTAGGGTAAGCAAACTTGCTTTTTCTTTGTTATTTTAATCCAAAGTTGTATGGATGTACAATATATAGATAAAATACATCTACATATATTATTTAAATGTATAATAGGTACGTAAACATATGTGAGTGTAAAGTACTTTAAAATAGAGAAATATTTTACCAGAAAAATTCAACTTAAATTTGAGAATCAAAGGAAAGTTTTTTGCAACATGTTCAGATGCCTTTGTGTCTTGCCATCAAGCAAGTTTTATGGACTTAATTGAAATAAAGTTTAGATTTTCTTTCAAAAGTTTAATGATCATGCTTAATTTATCAAGTAAGTGAATTTTCATCTCCCAGGTGAGAAATGCTGTTGCATTTTTAGACATTCCCACACCCCATGGAATTTATCAACCAGGAAATTCTTTTACTATGTTTAAAAAAACCCTAGTTTCTTACCAAGAAATAGGAAATGCCTTACTAAGAATCTTAATTTTTAACTGGATGACGTCCTTTGTAAGGTAAGTGGTAGATGGAATGGGAATTTCAGGGAGATAAGTATCTTGAGATACATATATACATATGCATGCATATGTGAGTAACAAATTTGTTAAGCATTTCACTAAGGTAATAAATGGTAGAAATGTTCCCAGCAAATGGTGTCAAACTACTTATATATGTTAACAATTTCCAGTGAATTCATAGAACTACAGACTAGGAAATGGGATAAGTTGGGCTGTAAGTGGCTGAAGGTGTTTCCCCCTTTTTTATTTTTTTCATTATGAAGTTGCCCCCGATTTTAATGGTTTTATTTTTACATACTTGCTTTAGATCTTTTGGTTTCTTTTAAGAAGCAAAATCATCAAGGATAGTAACAGTTCATTTTACACCCTCAGTAATTGCATTTCCCTCTGTCAATCTGAACTTTTGTGTGCCATGCTTGTTCATGCCTTAATAGTTTACTTCCCATGCATGTAATCATTAGTATATTGCACGTCTTAAAACGTGACATGTTCTTAACAATATTTCTGTAGCTCTGCCCTCACATGAATTTTTTTGTCGGAAGCCGCTGCACGTCCCAAATAACTCCCTTGTGACTCTCATTTGTCCCATGAACTAGTTAATACACATATTTCTCGTTTTACCAGCTTTTGTAGTTAAGTTTTGCTGACAATGATAGAACTGAAATTTTGTCACCAATATTTACTAAAGGCCTGGTGGCCACTGCTTGCTGAAGCTGCATCTCTTGTTTGGAAAATTCTAGGTCATATGAAACCTGGACAGAGGACAATTGGTCTGGCAAATGTCCTAAAAGCCATCTGCTCTGTGACTGTATATATGTACATGTACGTAGGCCCACATAGCTTAGGAATTAAGTCTAAGGCGAGATGTATTATACAAGTAAGTTTCTACACACCACTGCTATTTGTGTTTGTGCTGTGGACTGTGTATATTTGTGTTGAATGGAGATGATTTTTCTTGCATGTTGCTGGAAGAGGATAAGTGTCCTGCAAATACGAAATTGCTGATTTTGAAGCATTCAAAATTGGGAACATAGGATTTTTATTCCCAAGTGTGGCAATTTTCTGGAGCTGAGTAGTAGTTTTACTTAGTTTCCATAACTTTGTTGGTTACCAGCACAATTCCTGTGTTCATCTGAATTTGTGACATCAGTTTGCATGTTTGTCACATACTGTATTGAATAATTGTGAAATTTTGTGGGAGTGGATGGAAGGTAAGGTAATACAACATTGGAATTTAGTCCAGGATTACGTGTAGGGGTGTCCTCTTATCAGGAGATGAACAATGCTTAGTGACATTTGTACAACAGATGATGGGACCCAGAGTGTCTCAAACATGGTTGATGGAAAGGCATGAAATTTGAAGAACAATAAAAGCTACTTTTATGGAGTACCAATTGTAGTACTTTATATGCACTATTTCTTTGTCAGAACAACCTTCAAACACTTAACAGGAACACTAGCAGAAATGAACTTTTCCAGGCTTACTGTACTAGGGCCAAGTCTTGGCCCAAAGCTTGGACCCTTAATTGTGCCTTTGAGAAAAAAGGAATGATAACTGTGAAATTCATTTAATGGTATTCAAAAACAAGAACTGTGGTCTCATTTACTCTAGGTACTGGAAATATAAATTGTTTCTGCTTTTGAAAAATCTTGGCATCAAGTAGTATGTTCCTAAAATTTAACACACTGCACTGATGGTTTGAAGTTGGGGGTAGTTACAATGTGGTTTCAGAAACTTAAAGTATTTTGAAATTCAGACTTTCCAGCTGACCTTTCAACTAGGTAACTTAGTTATGTAGATGGGAATGAAGTACTGAGCGTGAGTAGCTTGGGGAGGAAGCATGTGAAAACAAAGGTTACAATCCGGGGTCTGGAATTAGTGTGTATAAGCTATAATTTTGGTTTGGTCACTTGACTGGTTAGGACCTTTGCCATTTTTATTTTTTTGTGCTCCAGCTTCCTTTTCTGTACAACAGGTTAATAGCCACACCTACTTCACTGGATGTGAAAGGGATTGAAGAGATACCTAGCACAGAGCTTGCTACAAAGCAGATGTGCAACAAATATTAGCTATTGTATATGTACAAGGGAGGTGGAAAACAGGACAGCTGTCTGATTAGGCAAAAAATTAGAATGAGGCATCCAGGCAGTGGTATTTGGTTTGAAAGTTTCTATTTGAGATCATTAGCCAGTTCTGATGAAGGCATTATCTGGCCACATGCAACAACCTTTTAATGAGCAGGACTAACAGCACAGTTTTTAAAGGATAGACAGACTTGGACTTGTATCTCAGCTCTGCCCTTGGCAAGATTGCCCTTGAACAAATGACGGAATTTCCAAAATGCAGCCTCCTCGTCAGTGACACCATCTGATTGTCACATTCTTGTAATCTTGTAGAGTTATGGTGAGAACTGTAAGACATTTTAAAGAATCTAGTGGTAAATAATATTAAAGTCACATTTTTACCCTGTCTTTTCATATATCAAACAAGGCAAGAATGTTAAACTATGGGCCTCCCTGGTGGCGCAAGGGGTTAAGCACCGCATTATGAAGCAATATGCAGCCTCTGCATCACAAGTTCGATCCCTGGCCAGCGGCGAGCAACCCACATGGTGAGGCAGCAACCCACATGTCTCATCTGCTGCTCCCCTCAGCAGTGTACTTTGGTCAGTCTGCCTGTTCTGTTCCCCACTCTGTCTCTGGTGAATCCTCTCACCCCCTGCATCTCTGGCCTGTACCCCAGCTCTTGTATGCATAAATAAATAAATCTTAAAAAAAAATGTCAAATTAGTAGCTGCTTTATGGTAATGGATAAGCTTGAATTAGAAATATAAAAGTACTTTAAAATTTTAAGAAGGAGGCTTTTGCAGGTCCAGCTTCTTAAATTTCTAGGTACCAAGTGTATATAATTAATATAATATGATATAAATATTAGTATCTAAAACCACACTTTTGTAAAACAAAGTTAAAATATTTGACTATAATTTTTGAAGTACAAAAAACAAGACACTCATATTTAGGCAGATTCATCAACTGTTAACATTTTTTCCCATTTTATCGTTTACACCGTCACCATACCTATATACACATTTTATGTGTATATGCAGTTATGTAGACATGTACACGTGTGCATTCATGTTTATGCATATACACATTATACCCACATTTTATTTTCTCAAGCCACTTTAGCAAATTGAACATTGATGTAGTACTTTTCCCCCAAATCTGTTGTCTGTTCATACTGACTGTCGCTTATGGAATCTCTGCTCCAGTACAAAATCCAGTCTGGGGACACATGTTGCTTTTAGTTTCATGTCCCTTTAGTTTCTAATCTGAAATAGTTTCTCAGTCTTTCTTGGCCTTTTACTACATTGATATTTTTGAAGAGTGCAGTTACCCCTTGCTTCCACACTTTAGAATGTTCTCATCTGGGCTTTCTTTGATGTTTCCTCATGATTTAATTCAAACAGCAAAGGTTCTTCACTGGATTATAACAGGAATGTATGTCCTTGGCCGAATATCATG